CAGGAGCAAGTTGTTTTTATTAAGCATTTTCTGCGACTACTCGTGCGTGGCCAGAAGTGCTAATAAGTGTTTGATAGGTTATAAACTGGAGGTATCTGACGATAGTGGAGAACAGTTTTATTGTCCCTTTATCGCACCCCTGTACGATGATAATCCGAATCCAATGGGGCAGTGGCCGGGATCTAAATCAGTAATTCTACAAAAATTCACAACCTTTTTTCCCATTATATAAGCAATATTACGACTTAAAGTGAGAGGCTAAAAATAATTTTAAAAACTTCCATAAATATTCGTTTCTCGAGGCAAGAGTTTCTTTTCTTTTTTTTTTATACACAAGACGTGGTTTAATATACAGGACGTCAGAACAAGTCTGGTCAGTGTTTTATTAATTACTCTGCTCTCCCATAAAATCACGATGGAGAGTACAGAGCGCGGCCTAAAGAAGACGAAGTAATTATGAAAACTAACGTCAAGGTGATCTCTCCTGAGGCTCTAAAATGTTTTCGCTGAAGCTTTCCCAGCGTACGCTCACAATGGAGGCAGGTGCGCCAGCACCCGGCCGTCGTCCAACCCGATTTCGCTAAGCTAGGGGAAGGACGGACTCGACAGGTTTGTTGTTCCCTTCTGCCCTTGGATGGGCATTGACTTTCCTCTAAAGTCCGGTTCACAGCCGTGTCATCCCGCACCCTTATGGCGTCACCGGCGACGTGGTACGGCTACGGGTGTTGTAAAAAAAGAAGAAAAAAAAAACGTTCTAAAAAATACAAAAGCAACAACTAGAGGTTCAGGGCGAGGGAAAAAGTACGCTGGGGTGAGGGAAGCAGGCGGAATGGTGGAGAGAGGGGATGTTCCCTCCTCTCCTCTCCAGCAATCCGTCTGCTTCCTCCTCCCGTCCAACTTTCAATGGCGTGCGCCAGTGTCACTTGTTCGTGACTTACAAGACATCTACAAAAATTATCGTTGTTGCTGGCAGTCGAACAGAAAAAGGAGTGCGCCAAGCGTTTTTAGAATCGGCCCCCAAGGTGTTCGTCAACGAGACTGACGATTCAGGTAAGATGTGGCGCTTCATATTTCTCTTAGTGCAAATTGCTTAGAGCGTACTGGTTCCGTCAAATTATATTTAAGGCCATCGGAATAGCCCGCTGTCGACTGGTGTTATAGCCAAATAACTAGTGTTCGAAAACAAAAGTCGCATAAAAAACGGCTTGCCGAAATTGCCAAGCTCATGTTGCAAGCAGGAATATTCCCGGAATATTTATTTAAGTTGACAAATGTTAGATACCGTAATATTGACATAGATATTGGCTTGTCTAGAAAATTCTTACTTAAATAAAAAGACAACAAAATGAAAGACCTCTCAAGGGAAGTTCGGTAAACCATTCATGTATTAGTCTTTCAAAGCATCTCAATCGCTTGGTTACTAGTAAAGCTAAACGTCGGTAAAAAAAAAAAAAAAAAATGTTAGCACGATTAAATATTTTTTTCTTATTCGATTAATTAATTTATTAATCGGTTTCGTTTATTACCATGAATAATAGATTAAAAAACCAAAATGGCATATTTTGCTTTCGCTGAATTTGTTATAAACGGCGTAATATAAAATTCAGTATTTTAAATCAAACTTGATGTGTAGTTGAGATCAGCCAAAAGGCATTCACACTACCTATTTATTACTCGAGCCGCGAGGGCAAAGAGGTTCCTTCATATTCTCCGGCAATAGCGAACTGCTTTGATTTTGCGCTAAACGGACTCTCGCCAGGCGCTGAACGTTACTGGGACACGTATAACTTCCACTTGCATTACAGCAAAGAAGTGTCTATCATTGTTGATTTCTTCAAGACTTTGAGGGAATGCGAAGAGGTTGTTGTTTTATTTACTAAGGTACTAGTTTTTTCGATGCTTAACATCTACTATATACAACCTTTTACGCTTCTTCAAATCTATACTAATTATTTAGTATAGATTTACTAATTATTTAGTATAGTATAGACGTCTCTGATCATGCCGATCACAACAACTCCACGGAAAAAGTTTCATACGGCCCACAAGTTTGGAAAAAAACGAAAAAAGGGTCCGAGGAAGCTAATCCACGGCGCAGTTCAACTTCCCGCGAGCCTGAACGTCGACAACACGGTGCGGGAGCCCGAATACGAAGATGTCGCATCGACGGCGCCGTCGACTTCCGTGACTTCAAGCGAGCGAGTGCGGCTCGACACGGTGATGCTCCGCGCTTCCGAGGTCGACGAGAAAGAAAAAAAAATCCGAGGAAAAACTCTAAAGAACATTCGTCGACGTCCGCTACGACGCGGAAAGCTGCCCTGATGGCCGGCGTCTCGGGCGCCGATCAAGAAGCTCCCGAGAGTAAAGAGAGTTTCATCGTCGTTCGCCTCGACGTCGTGAACTCGCTTCTTCAACTCGCGAAGTGTAAAGCTTGTTGCGGCGATGTCGAACTCATAAAATGCGATCGCGAGTATGGACTTGCAGTAAAACTCAAGCGATGTTGCAAGATCTGCGGGGATGTCGCATCCGAGTGGAGTTCGCCGCGGGTAGCAGTAAAAATCTGTCCGTGAACGTTTTCTGCTGTTTTCTCGAAATGAACTTTTTGCGCAGTTTGCTATTTTGCGGAAGCCGTATCTCATGCTGTACACAACCGATCTTCCTAATTCTTTTTTCTTTGGTAGGTGTATGAGTGTGGTATCTAATAATTGGTCTAATTGCATCGACTTAGGCATCAGTAGTTTTTGTTAGCACCTCCAACATAGATTGTAAAAATTGATTTATAAATTGAAAATTTCGAAATGCCATAAAAATGTTATAAATAATCATGGAGCCTTCATTTATACCTTATTGGATTCTGTAGACCTTCTAGTTTACAGAGATATATTTCTTTCTGAGTTTTGTCTTCATAATGTTTTGGAATCTCGCCCATAAAATGTTCAAATAAAATAGTTAATTTTATCAAAACTAACCAAGCTTTTTTAAAACAAAGTACATATTTTTCATCAGAATGGGAAGATAATTATGCTTTATAAATTTCATTTGGATTGGACCATAAATAAAAAAAAAAAGCTCAAGAAGCAGTGTTTCCCTTAAAGGGGCAGTGCAACGATATTCAGACGTTGGCCAATTAACTGCGGAAATTAATCTGCGTCACCTATGGAACGAAAAACCGAAAGCCGCATTTTCTTGCCCGCGCTAGTTCTTATTTAAAAAAAAAAAAATGAAACAAATCGAAGGTCGAAGTGCCTCTCAACTCTCCACGCCGACTTTCGAGTGACGTCTTTGGGGGTTCACGTGGTTTCCCCTTGGGCCCTCTCTTCAGAGACCCCAGCCGCTTCCTCCGCGAGTGTCGACTTTCAAAGAATTAGCCTCGTCGAAGGTCGCGGCGAGCGATAGACACAAGGGATGGTTCGCCACGGGGCTGACGGCGAGTGTAGCAGCGGAGGGGGACAGGGTTTGTTGACTTCCGCGTATCCCGCAGAGACTCCGTCATTTTAGTTCCCGTGGCCGCCACCGGCGGCTGCAGATCGGCAAATAATTTGTTTTTCGCCCAGCGATTACGCAACAGAATAGCCGTTTTGAGGGGGAAAGGTGACGCGTTTCTGGTCACTTGGGCTTGTATGAATAATATAAGAAAATGCAAACTGGCAATTCTTTCAACATTAAAACCGTTGCACTGCCCCTTTCAGGGATTCTACTCTGGAGCCACCGCTGCCTTTTCAGCCTTGTTGTCTTGTTGTTCAGGACTGGAGTTATCAACCGGCAGAAGTAGACACCTAAGGTTGTTCCTCAGCTAGAAAACACAATTTATTAATCTCATACGTGATGTGTCTCTTTAACAGTCGACAAAGGCAGTACAGAATGACGAAGGAAAGAAGATTCGCACAGCAGACATCGAAATCTAAACAACTTCTAAGAAGAAAGAGCTGGGACGACTGACACCCGAAGATGCAAACGCAGCTGTACTGCATTCACCCTCATTAATCTGAGACCTAATGGGTCGCATCTTCATACGCCTAAGCCCCAAACCAAATTTTAATATTCATTGTGTTTTCGGAATACGGCGTGTCAAATTCACGAGAACAGAATTTCAATCACAGCATAGTATAGCAGGGGTTGAAGTGGCGATACATCTTGTGTACTGATTCTCTAGGTTGGCTCTGAATATTACCTTGTTGGGATGATAAGTGCATACCCATCTCATTCAAATGTAAATCTTAATTGTACTCTTTCATTCCTCATTGGCGATGCTTGTTTTTTTTTTTTTTAAATTTCGCACCCAGTTTCAGTTTGCTGAATATATGTAGCTAAAAGTACAAACAAGTATTGTCGCTTTCCGTTCCTTCCTGTTTATTAACCGTCATCTTTCTAAACCTTGCAGATCAAACTCGGCAGGAATTTGGACGCAGATGTGAACGACACTTCGCAGCTTTGGAAAGGTGGCCTGTCACCAGCCGAGTCCCCCTTCGGTGGTGCAACGTCTTTGTACTACATTTTGTCTTTACACGTATGCGACAGAGTCACATCAAATGAGATGGCTACAGTTGAGCCTGCTGCGTGTAAACGTTCCATTGTCTGCCTTACCTCACTTTGCCTATTTACCGCCCTCACACCCCTCCCCTCCCCCTCCCACCCCTTTCAAAGCCTGTCATACATTTATTGATTGAAACTGCATAATCCCTCAAAGTATGCCTTAATGCGGACGAACTAAATAGTGTGTCTTACTTTTGGTTTATTATGTAGAATCTCTGAAAGGGATGGGTCTTATTTCTAAAACGGTGAAACAATGTGCACTATCTGCGTGTTTGCTTTATTGCTTGCTCAAGTAAAGGCAGGTATACTAATTTCTTATTGCCATGCTTACAACCGCAGATGCTTAAAACACTGGCGACTACTTATGACCTGCAGCGCAGCGGCCGGTCATCAGCAGTCACAAGATGGTTCACAAGCCCCTCCGGTCGTAAGCCGTCACAAGTGTGTCAACTGCCAAAATTCGTTCCTTTATGACAGTACTCTCATATTGGGTCTTAAGAAAAATACCTGCAGACGTGTTCAAAGCACACATATGTGGGTGCTTTGAACATGTCAGCAGACAGTTTTGGTAGGCCCAATATGAGATGACACGAGAGAGAAACGCGCCTGAGATGGTATTTGCACACTGCTTTTTCCTTGGTGTACGAGCAGTCTTACCGGGACTTTACGGAGCGAGTCAAGAAAACGTCAGCAGATGATCAGTCTGCTAACGTAAGTGGACAGTAGAATTCGTCTGCTACGAAGCGTCATTCGCAGACAAAAATAGAACAAGAAAATACATTCACATATTCTGTTAAAAGACGGGAATAAAGGCAGCCGTCTGCTAAAAGTCGAGTGCCGCGAGGAAGTGATACGGGACGCAAGCTGAAACTAAAATGGTCTGCTATACTTCCCGTTCGATGGGATCGACAACAAGCGCTCCCTCTGCAAATTTCCAGCTGTGCTGCCCTATATAGGTCAAATTCTCCTATGTATGTAGTACTCGGGAGAAATACTTTAAATACCTTGAGAACCCTGTCACCATCCGTGTGTTAGTGAGAAGCTCTCACCAAAAGGACTCGCGAACAGACTAGAGATTATCTAGTAACGTGACTTCGCACTTGTCGATAACTCTCGCAGAGAAAAACGCTGAGGCGTCGTGTCCAATCAGTAACCAAGAATGCTATCGCTCTCACCAGGTACCAAAACCGACCCCTAAAGTTGGTTTTGAAAAGCTGGTGGAACAGGGCTGAACAGATTCAGTAATTAGAGCCATATTCCAGCCTGAACCATGCCCTCAGGGTCCGGGAAGACTTTAGAGAGGAGGTGTGTAGAAGTTGTTAAAAATGCATAAACAAAACTACGAATGAACTAACGAGGGATTTGAAATGTGTAAAGCTATGGCGGTCTTGAAGATAAGACGTCTTCAAAGGGAAGCTGAAGCGGTTTTGTAATTGAGAAAACACACTTATATTGTCTTAATTCGGCTTCCAGGAAGCCCAATGTTGAAATTATATTTCAATTTCATGCACAGAAGCAGCAGCCCAGGCGAAAATTTTCAACTGGTTTATGACACAATCCCCAGTTGCAACTGGTCCCAGTTAGAGTTGTCCAACTGGTCCCAGTTCGAGTTGATCCCAGCTGGAATTGGTCCCCGTTACAACTGGTCCCAGTTGGAGTTGGTCCCAGTTACCGCTGGTACCAACTCCAGCTACAATGAAACAAAATGGAAGGTTAACAAGACTTTATTGTCAAAAACTTGGAGAATGAAACTAAATAATAGGTTCGGTGACGTACACGCTCCGGGTTTAGCCACTTGCTTGCGACTGTTGAATCGCTTTTTCGGAGGTCGTATTCGTGAGATGAAAAGGAAGATCGGCCGCTGGTGTCTGTTAGTGAAGACGTCCTCAGCTTCTCTCCCCATCGCGTGAAGAAAGGTGCTCACCCGTGATACCGCGTTGCGCAGGTGAAGTCCTGATAGGATACGGTAAAATGCGGTAGCGCTCCCATCTTGCAATCTCTGTCACAACAGCCGAACATTTTCGAGGTAGACCTCTCGCCATTTTCGCCATTTTGCTCTCCGCGGCGTTTTCTTCCGTCCGGTCTTTCCTGCGTGCCCTCCGATCGCTAAACCGCATCTTTCCGTCCTCGAAGTTCACCGCCGCCACCATAGTGTGTGTACAGTTAGGTCCAAAGAAGTGCAGCTGTAGTTTTGACATTTTCATAACGACGCCAACTTGGGCGATGGCGACCCTTCTCTACCGCGTCCGCCCGACTCCGGCGTCAGCATAGGCAGCGCCATCTGTCGACAGCGCGTACAACTATTCCGCACCCGCATGCCACGGCGGCCGGCTAGCTCTGATTGGCCAAAAGATACATTTATTTATTAAAAGGAAAAAATATTGTAGGTGTTTAAATAAATGTTTTAATATATTTTAATGATGCACTAAATGCTCATTTAGTTGAACACATATGGTCACTAATTATATTTTCTAATTAAAAATTTTTTTAGTTAATTACAAATTTTATATTATTTTCATAAATATAAAAATGTACCCAGTAATTAAACATTTCCCTATTTGTATAGATCTAAAAATTTAAGTGTTTTTAGTTTTCTTCATTAGCCAAGGTCAATACACCCCCAACTTGTCAAAATTGTTGCCCCGTGTGAACTGGGAACGGGAAAGGCATTTGAAGTCCGACTGGGAATCGTTCCAACCAGTTGCTTTCCTAACTGGTCCCAGTTCCCCCCATTCCGAACTGGAAGTCAAACCAGTTGACTCCCAACTGGGAATGGTTCAAACCAGTTGGCCCCTCAGCTGGTCCCGAGTGGGACTCCTATTGGTCCCAGTGGATTCCCAGTTGGGACCAGTTAGTCCCAGTTGAAACCAGTTAAGGTGCCAACTGGTCCCAGTTAGAAATTTTCGCCTGGGAGATAAACTCTTTTCAAAGTACCGCGGAAGCCCCTCCTTCCCGGAGCGTGCCATCATAAACGGAGTTTCCGGAATCTCCGCTGTCGCGCATCTTCAGTGCCTATCGAAGTTATGCACGCGACACTTCCTATTTTTAAAAAAGGAAAAAACAAAACAAAAAAAGACGTCATGATTGCTGCCAGTGCGGGGGAGTGGCAAGCCTGCGATTGCTCACGAGCGACACGCGCATGGCGGCCGAAAGATCCTTTTAGGACGTAACGACTGGTCGGACGTTTTTCGTGTGTTCTCGGGTTTAGTTACATCTTCGGAGAAAACGAACCAAATCTTTAGAATTACGGGATCAAACAACGCAGAAATCAAATTCTATATCATTTTTCGGAAGAAGCGTTTCACCTTCTCTTAAGATCAAGAGGAGAAAGCCACTCGAGCTTGTCTTGAGTTGGAAGAAATCAAAAGGAGAAAACAAACATTTGCGTTGCAATAAGGACTGTAAACTTTTGTACTCGGGTTGAATGGTGATTATTTATAATGAAGATCCCTTAACCAAATTATAGCGTTTTATATTCAACTTCTGGATGATCTAAAATGCTTTTTACCAATGCGGTTCTATGGGGAACTCGTGAAACGTGAACCAAGTATCTCGGGTAAAACTCGTTCTCTCTAAGTGGGCCCCGCTTATGTTAGTTGTTGACAAAATGCGAGCCTGAATGATTGATCTACACTGCATATAATTTTATAAATGGTGGCATTAGTCGCGTGTATGCGGCACAGACGGAACCGGCAAACATTTTCCTCCTTGCTAGCGCTTTGACGCTGCATATATAATGAAACATCTCTCGTGGAAATAGAAATGGTCAGTGTCATTTGGCCAAAACATTCACACTTGGAAATGGTGTAGTCACATGGGACTTGTTTTTTTCGCGTCCTTCAGATTGAAAATTCTCGCAGATACACTCCTACTGACAAATGGTGTTATTATCCATGCCCTGTTTAATCTCGAAACTGGCCTTCAGTTTTTTACTTGATTAAACTGAACTGCAAATGCACGTTTTCCCATTTGTTGCCTTCTTTTTTCTCGTCTCTGCATCGTAATTCTTAATCATTTACTCCGCAGTTTAATCAAGTAATAAATAGCCAACTGGACCAATTCCAGGCACTGGTATCATTCAGTTTTAGTTGCACTCATCCAATGTGATGATATTTGAGGGCAGGTAAAGTAACTTTGTGTTGGCGACTGTTTATTAACCCTCATCCTTCTAAACTTTGCAGGCCGAACTATCCGGAAATCCTCTTAAAGCAAGCGTGAGCGATCCTTCGCTGCCTGGGAAAGAGTGCCAGCCACCAGCCAGACCAACCTATGGCAGTGCCAGAACCTTGGGCTACGTTTTTCCCCAGATAAATGGGACCTACTAGTCGGATCAAATAGGGAATGGCCACAGCTCAGCCAACTACATGCAACATTTCCAATCCCGTCCCTACCTTCGTTCGCCGACACACCATGTCCATTTTGTTCACGTGTAATTCTCAAAACCTGTGGCGGCGATATACCGTGCAGTTGTTTGTTTTGTGGCGTGCCTGCCTTTTTTCAGCACTACAGAGCAGGAGCGATGTAACTAAACCACGCTCTTTGATCGTACCCAGTTGTGTCTTTCATGATTTATGTAGATCTGTATCGAAGTAATCTTTTACCGTATGTTTAAAGGTGAAGTAAAACCTTCGAAGCACGTATTAATAGAGAAGGATCACTTTTATGTTTGATTCACGTGCATTTTTACAGTCGACGTTTTCGGTGTATTCAGTATCAAGTTATGGTGCGGGTGTTTGATCGTGATATTATTATTTTACTTTTTGAATTACACCGCAATATCAATGTAAACCTCTGACTTTCTCTACTTCATCAGCATGATGTGTTTATGTTTGCTTGTTCCCTAAGTTTCGTTCTGATTGAGCTTCTGTATTGGTATAGTATAAAAAAAAGGAACGAAACAAAATTTGATCTTCACTCCTAACAGAACTTGCCCACGCAGCATCCGACTCCGAATGGCAGAGAACGGAGTACGAGGACAAGGGGGCGGAGCTCTCCTTCCAAGGAGCCGAATTGCAGAGGGAACCATTGAAGATGGACCAGGAGGGGAGGACGGACGGCGGTGCGACTTCTGCCGCCAATCTTATGGTGCCCACGGAACTAACAACACCAGGTATGAGAAGAAGCACACGGGAAAACAGTCATACAGCCTCGTACCATCTTAGCACACCCTCACAGATTCATGAAAGGTCCCACACGGATAGAAAACCTTTTTGTAGGCTCGGTTTTTTAGAAGGTGGAAAACGTAAGGAGTCTGATGTGGTACACAAAGTTTTCTCCACGTGGAAACTTCATTAAGTTTTAATTAGCGGCCTGCACCAAACCGAAAAAATATACCGCATACATAGTATTTGATATCATAGAAATGTACCATGCCGAGTTGTTTATTTATATTACAAAAATGTATTTTTTCCTCCAGTGCCGGTTGATCGAGTAGCTTTCACAAATGCTATAAATAATTTTCGACGCATGAAATAGCCCAAAATATGTTTGGCTGTTCCAAATGATTGAAGCTTTAGAACAGGGGTGGCCAAGCTGCGGCTCTTCGCGTGTTAAAGTGCGGCTCGCGGCTCCATCCCCCCCCCCCCCCCCCCATAAAAAGTGAAATGGACCGCGTTTTAAATCGAAAGACAGGTTGCAGTTTGGTAGCCTTGTGCTACTGCTACCTTACGTACAGTCGGACTGCTTTTGACTCGGATAGATTGAAAGTAGCTCGAGTTTCGTTTACTGCACCGGACAAAAGTTTGCCTGCCCCCCCCCCCCTCCCCCCCTGCGGCTCTTGGAAGTTTGGGGGTTTTCGTTTGCGGCTCTTAGGCCGGGTCAGCCTGGCCACCCCTGCTTTAGAAGTTTAGCTATAGGCTGGCAAATGTCCACATCATTGTCGATATAGAACCGCGTTTTTTGCTCTTTCAAATCACTCGTAAAATAATTACTGTGTACCTTAGCGATTTTTCAAGTTTCTAAGGTGCGCAACGATTATTCCACGACAGGGATGGGCAGTATTTCAAATACAAGTATTTGAAACACGTATTTTGAATACTTTGTGTATTTTGCATTTGTATTTAATTACAAATTGGGTAATGTATTTGAAGTGTGTATTTAAATATTAAAACGTGGGTATTTCAAATACAATTGTAATTAAATACAATTTTGTAGGCGAAAATACATCCCTCAAATTTATTGTCACTGTCCAGAGCAGGAAGAAAACTACGTTCTGCGCCAAATGCAGTGTCTCTCAATCAAGCACAATCGTTTAGTGACTTTGTGATTACGGTGCTAGTCCAGGGCAAGAATAGTGACGAAATCGACGTTCACAGGCAGACTGGCTAAATAAGTGCCCCTGACAACGTGTGATGCTTTCCAGCCTGATTTCCATCCATATTTTTGCCTGGAACATTCTAAATGCGCGGGTCGTCCAGATTTTCGTAACTGGTGCGAGTTGCAGCAATAAAAAATTCTCTAGCTAGTGCTGCGCATCTTGGTCGTCTCTGTTCTTTGTTGGTCTATACCAAAATGTAATCGACAAAAAATTCAGCTTGAAGCTCTGTACTTTTTTAACCTATTACGTCCAAGCTGATTACATTTTTTGTGATTATATTTCTATTACGTTACTAGAGCCTCGCACACTAACTCCCGAGTGTGCGATGCAAAATTAAAATGAGATAACCAGAAACCCGTTGCAGGTGCCCTGAAGTCGCTGACGCAAATTTTGAGGAATGTATTTGAAAAAGTATTTGGAGGAGACCATATACATTTGACTGTATTTGTATCTTGTACTTAAATGCTTTTTTGGAAATGTAATTAGAATTGTAATTAAATAAATTTTTGACGAAGTATTTTGTATTTGTATTTCGATACATATTTGCATGTATTTTGCCCATCCCTGTTCCACGAGCTTATTGAATGCTATTTTGTGTAACCTAATAATCTGTGGGTGTGTGAATGACCCTTCCAGCGTCACTTAAAACACAGTCGCGATCATTATGAATGTCAACACGCTATCACCCTGCGCTTCGTACTGGCAGCGGTAAACAGCCGCAGTGTTGTAGCCCTTACCGTAAAAAAGTAAAGAACTACGTTACTTGCGAAATAAAGGAACGCGATACTGTCGCCGACAGAACGTAACGCACGTTACTTTTGCGTTACTTTTTATTTATAAATTGACGGTAACAGCGCTTTCGTTTTCTTTTGGCGACAGCGTGTTTCGACTTTAACATGACAGGCGCTGGTTGGGGTTTTTCTAAAGCGGAAATTTTTTCGTGGGTAAAAGATTGGAAAAATTTATAAAATTTGTAGATTTAGAAAACTAATGAATACGTCACTACGTTACTGAAAGAAAAAAAGGCGCTACCGGTAACGACGTTACTTGTAACACGTTACCGCCAACACTGTGCAGCAGCAGCCGCGGCGGCTTGACTTTCCTTCCGCACTTGGTTAGGAGAACGCACAAGCCACCACAGCTGCCGCAGCATGGGGCTGCCAGAGTGGAATCTTAAACGATTGCCTATAGACCTTTACAAGCATTACGATTGAACCTTTTTAACATCTCAAATGAATGAATACCTACTCTAGGCTGCACCGGCATGATGTAGGTATTCTGGACCATGTTCATCTAGGTACTCAAAATTCCCATGTTCAGAACAACAAAAGCAGCGCCGACATTTCTTGCTTTGTCCTGTCATCCCAACAGACCTGATCGAAGCATACTCTGGCGACAAAGTGGATACCTTCGACCAGGACAGCCGCAGGGGTGACACCTCTCCCCCCACCAACCCACAAAAGCAGCAAACGCACCGAAACCCGGACAAGCACCCGTGCCGCTTCTGTCCTTACTCATGCTCTTACGCGGCGGGTATCGCCATCCACGAGAGGACTCACACTGGAGAGAGGCCCTTCAGTTGCGATGTTTGCGAGAAAACGTTCACGCATAAGGCTACCTTGAAGGCTCACGTTCGAACTCACACCGGAGAGAAGCCGTTCAAGTGCAACACGTGCAGCAGGGCCTTTGCTCAGAAACGCAGCTTGGCGGTTCATGAGAAGATTCACACCGGACAGAAGCCGTTCAAGTGCAACACATGCTGCAGGGCGTTCACTCAGAAAACCCATTTGGCGGGTCATGAGAGGACTCACACGGGAGAGAAGCCGTTCAAGTGCAACACGTGTAGCAGGGCGTTTAATCACAAACGCAACTTGGCGGTTCATGAGAAGATTCACACCGGAGAGAAGCCGTTCAAGTGCAACACGTGCTGCAGGGCGTTCACTCAGAAAACCCATTTGGCGAATCATGAAAGGACTCACACCGGAGAGAAGCCGTTCAAGTGCAACACGTGCAGCAGGGCGTTTACTCATAAATGCGATTTGACGATGCATGTGAGGGCTCACACCGGAGAGAAGCCGTACAGGTGCAACACGTGCAGCAGGGCGTTCACTCAGAAAACTCGCTTGGCGAATCATGAGAGGACTCACACCGGAGAGAAGCCGTTCAAGTGCGAGACCTGCAGTAGAGCGTTCGCGGCTCATAGCAATTTACGCGCTCATCGGAAGAGACATCGCAAGTTATCGAAACAGCAACGTGCATCATAGTTGTGGAAGGGATTTGAACGAAATACTCTAGCACCGACGTGTGTTCATTTGGCTTGGCGATAGACCTGCAGCGGTTCTACTTGCGAGCAGTGTGTCTTTTGCATAGTTCAAAATGTTTCAGCCTGTTATTTATAGCGCAAACACAGATAAAAAATGTGAATTTCCCTTAGACGAAGCGACCAGAGGTCTTTTTAGAGCGCAGCTCTTAGGCGCCCGTTTCCGGCTTGAGCGGCGTCGCCGTCGGCGTAACCGCGCGGTGCATTATGGGTAAATTTCCCCGCTAAATCTAGCGGGAAAATTTCCCCGCTAAATCTAGCGGAAAAATTTCACCGCTAAATTGAACGGAAAATTTGCCCCGCTAAATGTAGCGGAAAAATTTCCCCGCTAAATTCAGCGGAAAAATTTCCCGCTTTCCCCGCTAAATCTAGCGGAAAAAATTTCCCCGCTAAATCTAGCGGAAAAAATTTCACCGCTAAATCTAGCGAAAAAAAATTTACCGGCTAAATCTAGCGGAACAAATTTCCCCGCCAAATTTAGCGGAAAAATTTCCCCGCTGCATCTAGCAGAAAAATGTCCCCGCTAAATCTAGCGGGGAAATTTTGGTCACGTTACCGGCGGGGGGTCACGTGACCTCCCCCCCCCCCCCCCCCCTTCGAGAACACGCGGCCCTCAGTACCCTTCCCACCTCCTCCTCAACAGCTGCCCTCCAATTCGGCATTACAGGGAGTTGTAAACGGCTTTCACTTTTTTGTACATGAAAAAAAGAAAATATTTGAAGCCTTATCTTTTTTTATTCATTTAGAGTCATTAATCACGTGATGCACCTGAAGTTTCTGTGTTGTCTGTAAGGTCACTTATGTACAGTGCTAATCACACTTGTTCATAACGCGCGAGCGAGCGGCTTTCTCCGGGGAGCGCTGGGCTGGTGGCATTCGCGGAAACTAAGTAGTCACGTGGCGCAACATGGAACGGCCCGCTCGAGGGGTGTCCTGCCCAATCACAAGTGTGATTAGCACTGTACCTTACAAGTCGGCCTACTCATGACCATAAGTATACGAACTTATAAAATAACTAAGGTCTTTCAATAGCAGCAATGTTAAGAAAGTCATTTCTTTGTGTGTTATTAGTTTGTAAGATTTGTTGCTTATGTTTATTATTTTGAAAACTGGTTTTATTGACTGTGCTCTTTTTATTTTCTCTTTTTTTCGCAAATTATTTAGTAATTTTTTGCACGACCATGAGGGCTCAGCAATAAACTTTGGTTGAATAAAACGCTGGTTTGAACAAAGAAGTAACCACGTGTCGAAAATTGTTTTCTCCATTTGAAGGGATACACTCATTGGAAGTATTTATAGGTCCTCCCAAGAAAATGGGTATAATGCATTAAATTGGGAATGCTGCCAAAAGGCTCTCCGATTTAACTCTTTTAGAAACTCGGCGAACCAGTGCACGCTGTTGGGCGCGCGCAGAGTGGAGGTTGCGAGCCGATTTCTCGATTATTTCATGAGTTTTTTCTGAAAGCCCTTAAAACCCAGTTTCAAGCGCACTTAAAGCAGGCATATTAAAGGTGTGTCACGAAGCGGTCCGCACACGAATAAATTGATAAAAATTACTTACAAGGACAATATAACTAGGATTATCTGGTGGAGAAATTTTAGGACCGGGTTTAGTGTAATTAATAGTAAAAGATTCAACGCTCTAATGGGTGACAAAAAGGATAGATCTATTCATGATAAGTCGAAGCCGCGGTGTAGGAAACACAAATCAATAAGGACAACAGTAGTCTAACGACACATTCTGATCGTGATTAAGCGTGCAAACTGGGCTTAGCGACAGTTAGTAAAAAAAAAAAGAAATTGGAACATTGATAAGGACGTATCGACCCTAATTGTAAACGTTCGTGACGACCGCCACCGCAGAAAATAGTTCCTCTTTCAAATTAGCCCCAAAGAAAAAAAGAACGTCTTATTTTTTCGATATCCTGGACTTTAGACCAGGACCGGGGGTAGGCGTCCCGGAAGGTCGCCCAGGGAGCCATCAAAAGGGTTGCGCCGCTGCGCCCCCATTTGGAAGTTTTTTTTAGCTTACTAATTTATTTAAACACGGCGGTTCTTTTCAGAAAAAAAAAATACTCGTTTTGGAACACTACTCACATGTTTACTGACTACGTGATGTCATAGATAGGGGCGTATAAAAAGGTGAATGGGATGGGACGCCGTCCGATGCCTGGTGTTTATAGGATCGGAGGAATAGCGCCTTGCACCACACGCCCATTTTCGCAAAAACAGAAGTTGCACAAAAATGGGGCGACTATACTCTTTTTCACCCCAACTTGTGCACCGGAGGCTCCACCTCTACAGGCCGCGCATTGGCCAGTCACCGTCGCACCACCACGAAGCGCTCCTCCGCCATTTTTGAATCAAATATAAACAAAAAAGTGTCTACAAAGAAAAAGTTCTATACGAGCGTCGTAATCGTGATAATCCAATCATCTTAAATAGGGCTTATTATGTAGCACGTTTTGAGCTATAATTTTTCATATGTCCAAATTTATTGGTGTGATTCTTTTTAAAATACGAATCGCACGCAGTCGCTGCGTGGTGACTGAGGCCCTACTGACTGCGTTCGTTTGTTCACGGAAGAGTGAGTCGTTCACAAACAGAATTGCTTTCTTAATAAATACAGCACTCCCGACTTGGCTAACATCTTCTCTCAAATAAAACAATTGTACCGTCAAACTGTCCACTTAAACGGCGCAAGACTTGCAGCCTGAGTGTCTATTTCTTTACTTCTGTTGAATTTACGAACGCGTCCGGTTAACTCGGTGACGTCATGTTGTTGTTGTAGTCGGGGAATCGAATGCTCGACGCGCTCGGCCCGATTGCGTTCTTCTTCTGCGTGTTCAGATATTTTTTACAACTTTATCGTTCTGTTTTATTATTCAGCGTATTTCCTTTGTGGATATCGTTGAGGTAGTGTCCATGGCTCCATCTCCACCGCCGTCGAGACGTAAGCCAGCCGCCACGACACCTATAAATGTGTGGAAGAAGCATCGGCAAGGACGCAAGCTCTCGAGCGATTGCAAGCAGATGGTTCTTTCCGTGTACGCCAAGCTGCGAGAACAATACCCGGACAGGTTGAGGAACGACTTATACCAGCTGACGTCTGAGTATACTGGCGTCGGAGCACGGACAGTTGCCATAAAGAAGGAAGCCATCACGAATTCCGGGCTCCTTCGAACTCCAACTGGTAAGCGCCCAAAGTCGGTTGGCACCCGTCGTCGCCTGGTCCAGTACGACTCTTTTGTGCTGTCTGCGTTGCGGTCCTGCGTGCACGGCTTCTTTCGAAGGAACGAAACCCCGACCGTCACGAAGATACGCGAAGCCCTCATTGAAGCGCTGAAGGATGATGAGGTCGCCGTGGAACCGAGTCCATCGACTGTGTACCGTCTTTTGCATGACATTGGGTTCGAGCTGCAGAAGAGGAGTCGCAACTCTCTTCTCATTGAGAAGGACGACATCCTTGTGTGGCGTGCGAAGTACCTCCGCTCAATCCTGAAGTTTCGAGCAGAGGGTAAGGCGATCTATTATCTCGACGAAACGTGGGTCAACGCCGGACACACCATCAACAAGATCTGGGTCGACACGACGGTGCGTTCTGCCAGAGACGCAGGAAATCGCGGCCTCAGCACCGGTCTCAAAAATCCATCTGGCAAAGGCAGCAGACTGATTGTCACTCACGTTGGGGGTGACCAAGGCTTTGTGGAAGGTTGCCTCGACATTTTTCATGGAGTGAAGTCGGGCGATTACCACGACGAGATGGATGGCAACAGGTTTGAACATTGGTTTGACTTGTTCCTGACCAAGGTAGAGCCAGGAAGCGTTATTGTAATGGATAACGCTTCCTACCACTCAAGACGCGTGGAGTGTGTCCCCACGAAATCTTCAACCAAGAGTGTCATCCAAGAATGGCTAAGCTCAAAGGGAATTGACTGGGACAAAGACATGCTCAAGGTGGAACTAATTTCTTTAGTCTCCCAAGTGCGACACAAGTTCCTCAGCTACCGAGTGGACACACGTGCTGAAACTGTTGGGTGCACGGTTCTTAGGCTGCCCCCTTATCATTGTGAGCTGAATCCCATTGAGCTTATCTGGGGGCAAGTGAAGAATGAGGTTGCACGAAGCAACTCGTCTTTCAAACTAAAAGATGTGAAGGTGCTTCTAGAGCAGGCAATCAAGAATGTCACGAAAGACAACTGGACCGCTGCTATACAGCATGTTAAGAAGATGGAAAAGCAGTTCTGGGAGAATGACAGCCTGTCGGACAGAGAGGTTGCACCAATCATCATCGAAATCAATGCCGGAGATGTCAGCGACGACTCCTATGAAGATGAAAGCTGCGATGAAGTTGTCTCTGGATCAGGCCAGCCACACATTCCAGGTGTGGAGCCACTTAATATGTAAGCAGTGTGGCAAAGTATTTCTTCCATTGTGCTCTCCGGGAACTGCTGGAGGCCCACGTGAAGCCTTCTCTGCGTATAAGGCGGCCTGCCTGTGTGGGCTGACTCCCGAGATCTGGTATGCAACCCTGCCTCTCCGAAAACGGCTGCAGCAACACGACGAGGCGGCTTCGGAAGCCCACTTGAAGCGTTCTCTGAAAACAAGGCGGCCTGCCTGTATGGGCTGACACTCGACATCTGGTATGCAACCCTGCCTCTCCGAGAACTGCTGCAGCAACACGACGAGGTGGCTTCGGAGGCCCACTTGAAGAGTTCTCCGAAAACAAGGCGGCCTGCCTGTGTGGGCTGACTCTCGACATCTGGTATGCAACCCTGCCTCTCCGAGAGCGGCTGCAGCAACACGACGAGGCAGCTTCGGAAGCCTACGTGAAGCCTTCTCTGAAAGCAAGGCGGCCTGCCTGTGTGGGCTGACTCTCGACATCTGGTATGCAACCCTGCCTCTCCGAGAGCGGCTGCAGCAACACGACGAGGCGGCTTTGGAAGCCTACGTGAAACCTTCTCTGAAAGCAAGGCGGCCTGCCTGTGTGGGCTGACTCTCGACATCTGGTATGCAACCCTGCCTCTCCGAGAACGGCTGCAGCAACACGACGAGGCTGCTTCGGAAGCCTATGTGAAGCCTTCTCTGAAAGCAAGGCGGCCTGTCTGTGTGGGCTGACTCTCGACATCTGGTATGCAACCCTGCCTCTCCGAGAGCGGCTGCAGCAACACGACGAGGCGGCTTCGGAAGCCTACGTGAAGCCTTCTCTGAAAGCAAGGCGGCCTGCCTGTGTGGGCTGACTCTCGACATCTGGTATGCAACCCTGCCTCTCCGAGAACGGCTGCAGCAACACGACGAGGCGGCTTCGGAAGCCTACGTGAAGCCTTCTCTGAAAGCAAGGCGGCCTGCCTGTGTGGGCTGACTCTCGACATCTGGTATGCAACCCTGCTTCTCCGAGAACGGCTGCAGCAACACGACGAGGTGGCTTCGGAAGCCTATGTGAAGCCTTCTCTGAAAGCAAGGCGGCCTGTCTGTGTGGGCTGACTCTCGACATCTGGTATGCAACCCTGCCTCTCCGAGAGCGGCTGCAGCAACACGACGAGGCGGCTTCGGAAGCCTACGTGAAGCCTTCTCTGAAAGCAAGGCGGCCTGCCTGTGTGGGCTGACTCTCGACATCTGGTATGCAACCCTGCCTCTCCGAGAACGGCTGCAGCAACACGACGAGGCGGCTTCGGAAGCCTACGTGAAGCCTTCTCTGAAAGCAAGGCGGCCTGCCTGTGTGGGCTGACTCTCGACATCTGGTATGCAACCCTGCTTCTCCGAGAACGGCTGCAGCAACACGACGAGGCGGCTTCGGAAGCCTATGTGAAGCCTTCTCTGAAAGCAAGGCGGCCTGCCTGTGTGGGCTGACTCTCGACATCTGGTATGCAACCCTGCTTCTCCGAGAGCGGCTGCAGCAACACGACGAGGCGGCTTCGGAAGCCTACGTGAAGCCTTCTCTGAAAGCAAGGCGGCCTGCCTGTGTGGGCTGACTCTCGACATCTGGTATGCAACCCTGCCTCTCCGAGAGCGGCTGCAGCAACACGACGAGGCGGCTTCGGAGGCCCACTTGAAGAGTTCTCCGAAAACAAGGCGGCCTGCCTGTGTTGGCTGACTCTCGACATCTGGTATGCAACCCTGCCTCTCCGAGAACTGCTGCAGCAACACGACGAGGCAGCTTCGGAAGTTTACGTGAAGCCTTCTCTGAAAGCAAGGCGGCCTGCCTGTGTGGGCTGACTCTCGACATCTGGTATGCAACCCTGCCTCTCCGAGAGCGGCTGCAGCAACACGACGAGGCGGCTTCGGAAGCCTACGTGAAGCCTTCTCTGAAAGCAAGGCGGCCTGCCTGTGTGGGCTGACTCTCGACATCTGGTATGCAACCCTGCTTCTCCGAGAACGGCTGCAGCAACACGACGAGGCGGCTTCGGAAGCCTATGTGAAGCCTTCTCTGAAAGCAAGTCGGCCTGCCTGTGTGGGCTGACTCTCGACATCTGGTATGCAACCCTGCTTCTCCGAGAGCGGCTGCAGCAACACGACGAGGCGGCTTCGGAAGCCTACGTGAAGCCTTCTCTGAAAGCAAGGCGGCCTGCCTGTGTGGGCTGACTCTCGACATCTGGTATGCAACCCTGCCTCTCCGAGAACGGCTGCAGCAACACGACGAGGCGGCTTCGGAGGCCCACTTGAAGAGTTCTCCAAAAACAAGGCGGCCTGCCTGTGTGGGCTGACTCTCGACATCTGTATGCAACCCTGCCTCTCCGAGAACGGCTGCAGCAACACGACGAGACGGCTTCGGAAGCCTACGTGAAGCCTTCTCTGAAAGCAAGGCAGCCTGCCTGTGTGGGCTGACTCTCGACATCCGGTATGCAACCCTGCCTCTCCGAGAGCGGCTGCAGCAACACGACGAGGCGGCTTCGGAAGCCTACGTGAAGCCTTCTCTGAAAGCAAGGCGGCCTGCCTGTGTGGGCTGACTCTCGACATCTGGTATGCAACCCTGCTTCTCCGAGAACGGCTGCAGCAACACGACGAGGCGGCTTCGGAAGCCTATGTGAAGCCTTCTCTGAAAGCAAGGCGGCCTGTCTGTGTGGGCTGACTCTCGACATCTGTATGCAACCCTGCCTCTCCGAGAACGGCTGCAGCAACACGACGAGACGGCTTCGGAAGCCTACGTGAAGCCTTCTCTGAAAGCAAGGCGGCCTGTCTGTGTGGGCTGACTCTCGACATCTGGTGTGCAACCCTGCCTCTCCGAGAACGGCTGCAGCAACACGACGAGGCAGCTTCGGAGGCCCACTTGAAGAGTTCTCCAAAAACAAGGCGGCCTGCCTGTGTGGGCTGACTCTCGACATCTGTATGCAACCCTGCCTCTCCGAGAACGGCTGCAGCAACACGACGAGACGGCTTCGGAAGCCTACGTGAAGCCTTCTCTGAAAGCAAGGCGGCCTGTCTGTGTGGGCTGACTCCCGACATCTGGTATGCAACCCTGCCTCTCCGAGAACGGCTGCAGCAACACGACGAGGCGGCTTCGGAAGCCTACGTGAAGCCTTCTCTGAAAGCAAGGCGGCCTTGTCTGTGTGGGCTGACTCCCGACATCTGGTATGCAACCCTGCCTCTCCGAGAACGGCTGCAGCAACACGACGAGGCGGCTTCGGAAGCCTACGTGAAGCGTTCTCTGAAAACAAGGCGGCCTGCCTGTGTGGACTAACTCTCGTCATCTTGATTGAAGCCCTGCCACTTCGAGAACTGTTGCAGCAACACGACGAGTCGGCTCCGTTATGTTGCACAGAAATATTAAACACCGAGCCATGTTCAAGACGTCGTTCCATTCCCTTCTCGTCTCCCAGGCTAATATTGCGGGATTTAGCATGTCTTCAGCTTACACCGGCTTGTGTGCACGCATCTGCTAGTTCCTCTTAGATTGAATCTTTATTTAGGCAACAACATACAAACAGTCGTTGCCCAAGAGCTGACACAAAAGGCAAACAGAATTGCCTCACGAGGCGCCGCCCCCCCCTCCCCCTCCCAATCACAAACATCATACACACTTGTCGTACACAATATAACAGCATAATAAGGGTACAGCAAAGGTTACAGAATAGACTTGCACAGCAGAATTCAATTTTAGAACACCCCTGGCCCCAAAGACGCCAGAAATGCAGTTCGTTGAATGCAGAGTACACAGGAAGTGCCCGAGGTCTAATTGAACAGTGCAGGTCTACAGAATTTGCTTGTGTTACCAGTTTTTGGCTCATGAGCTTACATCACATTGTAAACCTAGGACACAGGACAAACACGAAAGGGCCTTTTAGTGTTTGTCCTGTGTTCATCCTAGGGATGTACAAAATACGAACTTCAAGAAGGTTATGAGTCGCAAAGATGCAGGGCTGTGGCACTGCAAACAAAAGCTGCCACAAGTACATTCGCTATACACAAATGCATGCTGGTGCTGTCCCAGAAATATTTTATAGTGATTCAAAGGATTAGACCTGCAATGAAGTGACATAGTTCCGTACTAAAATAAGTGGATGTGGGGCGGTCAGTTATAGTGCCCAGATGTAGTACAGCTGCATCTGTTTTCTCGAAGGTAAGAGAACTGGGAACAAACAATGCAAGCATTGTAACAGGAAACTGTTTTGGGCAGTACAGTACAATACCGAAATTGTTCGTTTTAGGGGGTTTTACCATGGGGGAGGGGGGAAAGAGAACAACCAATGCTGTCTATATCCACCATTTGATCATACAATTTTTCGACTTCGAATGCTACATGTCATCGCAGCAAAAAAGCAGGGGCTAGAGGAGCTGTGGACAGTGGCCTGCAATGAACACAGAACATGAACCAGAGCTACTATGAATGTGGTATGCTCCTTGTTACCAACAATAAACCTTGTAGATATACTTGCAGTTTTCTTGTTGACTGATTATATTACTATAACTGCTCATATTAGACCAACAGTATTGTATAACTGCTCATATTAGACCACAATTCTCACCACTCCACATTCCCGGCTTTGATGCAGTCGACTTCAGCTGCAGAAAACACGTTTTACACTATTTTGAGAATCTGCTGAGTAATCCGCCTGTTGCAGCAATCTGGCACTTTACCAGTCATTTCCAAATGCTGTCGGACATCTCGCATGCCTATCGCGGTGCAGCAGAGAGCCGTTCGCGGGCGTGGTATTTGACGCTGGAGAGACTGAAATCGCAAGCTACCAGTTCAAGAAGCAAACAATATAAACTTTTTCAACAAAACCGCGACCGTAACGTAAGGGCATGTCACATACCAGGCAACATAAAAAGCGCGAATGTTGCGCGGCAGCGAAGTTGCAAACGCGGTCCGCATGCCCGATTGAAAGCGATGGCGACGAAGCGCGACGATAGCTGCAAATCATGTTTTCTATGCATCACATTTCCTTGCAACTGTTGAGATGCCGGCC